GTGGAAGAGGGCTTTGAAAACACACCGAAAAATTCCGACCGCATCCCCTTCCGCGTCAAACTTCCACCATTCGGAGCTCAGGGACACCGCACCACACAGCCCGTCCTCCCCGGGGGAAGGGGCTCTCCAGCCGGGGGAAATGCGCAGCGCCGGGACCGGGGTGGGGGTGTGTGGGGGGGGGGAGGCTCGGGAGCCGCCGCCGCCGCCGAGCAGGTGCCTCAGGGGTTAAATCCTCTCAAGAGCCCCCCGCGCGTTCCTCCTGCGGGGGGTTCGGAGCGGCGGCCGAGCCCCGGAGCGCGGAGCCGAGCGGAGCAGCCGAGCCCGGGCGCGGAGCGGAGCCGAGCGGAGCCGAGCGGAGCCGAGGGCCGGGCGCGAGGCGGCGGCCGCCCAGCGTGTGATGGCGGCGGGGCTGGGCGGGCGGCACCCGCGGGGCGCGCCGCAAAAGGCGGCCTGGATCGCCGGCCCCCCCCGCCCCGCCGTCCCCTCCCCGCCGCCCGCGGGGCCCCGAGCCCGGGCACAGCCGGGGAAGAGCCGCGGAGGAGCCGCCGCCGCCGCCGGGTCCCGCCCGCCCCGGCCCCGGGCTCGGCAGCGGCGCCGGCTCCCCCTTCCCTCGCTCCGAGCAGCCGCTGCCTCACACCCACCGCCTCCCCCGGCCCCTCACGTCTCCCCTCAGCAACACCCCCAACCCCGAATAACCCTTCGGCCTCCTGCACCGCTCCCTGCCCAGTGCTCCTCTTCCTCCTCCTTTCTCCTCTTTCCGGCACCTTCGTGTGGTAAATCCATGGCCGGGTGTCATCCACCCCCCTGCCCGCAGCGCTGGGACCCGGTGACGACCCTCTCACCCAGCACGGCCCCACCAGGAACCACCACCAGGACCTTCAAAACCACCACCAGGACCCTCAAAAACCACCACCAGGAGATTTAAGAACCAGCACCCAGACATTTAAGACCAAACAAAGTCCCCCTTCTATGGGAAGGCCAGTGGTCCCCTAGGAGGACTTTTCCCTTTCCCATAAACACCATACACAGGTATGAACAACGAGCAAACATCAAATTCTGCCTGCAAATAAGGTAAAGGATGTTCAG